ACCTTCCCTTGTGCTTTTATGAGCCAACCACCTTTGTGTAGAAATGGATCTTTAGGAACAATGTGCAGTAGAGAAATCAGTCTTTCATCCTCTTCGACAACAAACAATTTTCCCTTGCCATAGGATGAGGACAGGTGTGGCAGGCAGACTTAACTTCCTGGAGCAGCAGAGGTTGGCACAAAGCATCCACACAGTCTGAATCAAGACAGGCCAGGAAGTCTCATCCTTCTGCTCGTCCTGCCCATCCCAGCTTTAAATCCTCATCTGCAATTGGTGATGACATGTTCTAATCCTCTTCATACAAGCTATGAGAGGATTGTAACTTCATATGGGAAATGTCAGGGGAAGGAAAATACAGAACAAAAATCCTTCCTTCTTACAAAAGCATTCAATAACAAAGAAGGAAGAACTAAAAATAAAAAACAGACAGACTGCGTACGAAGTTTGTTTAGAACTAAATAACTCCAGAAAAACAGCTTAATGCTGTTCCTTTGTGGGATTAAGATCTTATTTGAGGGTGCAATTTATGCCTGCAAAATTTCATACTGAAGTAGATGCACTTGTGAGTAGATATTATCCTCTTTAGGTAATAAAAGAAATAATTATAACAATCAGATTTGTTTCTAGAATTGAACAGTAGCTTAAAAATTGTGTACAAGAATTGCTCACAAAACCAACCATCCTACATGTTTAACCCTTTGCTGCCAGCCTCTTCACCATGAGATGGCAAAGAGTTCTTTTCATTTCATGGCAATGATCACTGGAAAGGAATAATTTATTTATACACAAATGATATTGTATAACACTTCATCCTCAGCTTCAAGCTCAGAAATATTTATTATGCTCAGATAAATGTTATCATCATCATTCCTACACAGAGTAAGTACATCTTGAGCATATTTCTTTTTCTTTTTTCATTTGTGGCAGGGAGTTTTTGTCATTTGAGCATAGGCTCTTCCTTCTTATTTTATGCATTTGCCCTCTGGTTGTTGTCAACCCCTGCAGTCAGAATAATGAATTCCTCTTTACTGCACTGTCAGTGTGCTATCATTATTGTGGACTTTTCCTCCTATGGAAGGGTGTTTTGTAAGTTATTTCTGAAAAGCTATACCACGTATGTGTTTGGGATTTATAGGACTGTACTGATCCACCATTTTCCAGAATATCCAATGCAGCCACTGTAAATTTAAAGAAAAAGAGAGTTCTCATCCAGCTGTGGACGTCAAGACAACTCGAGGGAGTATTATCTGCTTCTAACTCCTTGCAGCTTTTACACAGGAAACACAAACAGCTCAAGATCACAGAGAGATTTCTGTTTGCCTTTGCAGTAGGGCTGTCGTTTTCTTTATGCCACCTACACTTCCTGCTGGCTTTTGAGGAGACAAACATTTGTGTGTGATTCTGAACACAGGTCTTCTGCCTGACAGCAAATGATGCTGCCAGCTGAGCTTTTAGAACAGCTGTTGGATTCATGCAAAGCTGCTTGTCTCCCATAATTACCTTAGTGCAAGATACCATTTTAAAAAGTCTTATTTAGCATCCTCCACACGGTAAGAAAATCACTTTTAGTCTTGGAATTATTGCAGATGCTACTTTTAACCACAAAAAAAGCTTGCCTTTGTGTTCCACGCATCTCATAAGGCTTTTCCCACCGTGTTTCAGAAGACCAAAGCTCTCATAATATCAGTGTCTTTGCTAGGAAAGGAGGGCTGCAACTGGTAGTTCTGCTTTTTTGGTTACTGGCAGACTTCAACCTGACGTAATAAATATTGAAGCTTGAAGCAGGAGTACCCTGAGGCTTGAGAAGCCATGGAAATAATAAATGTGCTACAGGGATGGAGGCAGGTCCAGAATTACTTCTGGCCGGACTACCTTCCTAAAGGACGTTGCTGCCATGCATAAAATGAGATTACTGGGACTTTGAGCAGATGGGAAATGATTTTATGTTGGGTAAAAAGAAGTTTGTTTATATTTAGAAATATTAAGTTCTCATATGTACAAAACAACACTGCTAATCTGTTAAAAGCTTGGCTTGTGTTTATTAAACAAAACAGTGAGTTCATAGGATTTGGGGCAGTTTTCTAATTTTTCCCTTTTCGTGGGGATGTTCTGTCAACAAAAATTACTCTTATTGTAATTAGCTTATCAACAGTTCAAAAAGTCCTTACTTCTGTGGTTTTGTAATGTCTTGCTCTCTGTCCTCAGTTTATAGGAATCTCTGTTCTAAAACCAATCTCAGTCACTCATTGAGCGTTACTAATATTTTTTGAATGTTCTTGGAAAGTTTAAAGAAAGCATAATTCCATAGGAACCTTACTTGCCAGCTGTGTAGGATTCACCTTGAAGATGTCTGTTCAGTTCCTCTGCTGAACCCCTAGGTCCGGCATACATACATTTTAATTAAACAGAAAATGATAAGGTAATGATAATGAAATGATAATTACAAATGATGAGGTACAACAGCTACATCCACGCTGCTGTTTCATCAACAAAGACTCCCACATCCATCCTCCCTTCCCATGCAGACAAGGTCTTCTCAAGAGCTTGTAGGCAGCTTGCAAATCTGTCTGCACAGGAATGCCTGGCAGCACTCCAAGCTAGATAACAAGAAGCAAATGGTGATCTAAGAACCCAGGTGGCCTCCAGATCCCCTTCAGAGGACACTCATTCCCCATTCAGACAAAAGTGAAGTCATTGGGTGGCAGTGCCAACAATGAAATTCTTGACTAAATAAACACATACATTTCAGGAATATTCCTTTTTGCATTAGAGGACCAGGAGAGAAAAAGGGAATGCAACTAGGAATGGCCTGAGTGCAAAGAGCCAGGAGCTTGCAAACATGTTTGAGATGAAGATGAAAATGCAAAGGTGCAGAAGCTGGAGGGCAAGGAGGATGGGCAAAGGATAGACTGTAGGGGTAAGGCATGTACCAGAAGAACCTCAAGTTTGCAAAGAAACAGAGACTTCTTGTTTGTCTAGAGAGGCTAAACAAAATCCCTGAGGTGTGTAGGTGCTACCTAGACATTCTGATACCTATAATTTCTTATCTGGGAATGAGACATAACATGCAATGTCTCAAGCCAGCTTACCCTCCTCTCATCCCTTAAGATGGAAATCTTTGAGTATTTTAAGATCACCCTGAAATTATCCCAGCTCCTGTGCACTCCTGCATTCTCACACAGAACATGGTTTTGCCACATCTGATGGAGCGTGTTGAGATAAAAGAATGGAGACAATGGTTACACTAACAATTTCCAAGGAAAACCAGAGAAAAGGGCTACTCTGCCTCTACCTTGATCAGTTATTGATGGTCAGCTGTTGGATGCTTAACAAGACACAGCAAAGTACATCATTGTGTCTTGAGTGCTGCATATTCCCATAGTAGGTCACGATGGCCCCTCTACCTTCTGTCCTTCCTGACCTTGCCTAGAGAGAGAGAAATCTGAATTACAAAGGAGAGCAGGGAAAGAGGGAGCGCAGACACTCGTTTTACTTTTTAAACTCTGTTATCACTGCCAATAAGTTACATTTTGAAGGTTAATACTCTGTACTGAGCAGGAGACTAACTTCTGAAAAATATAAGTCTTATGTCTAGCAGAGGCATGGGTACAAAAGTACTGAGAGCTTCTACTTTTTCAGTTTTTTCCAACACATACAGCACTGATTTATAACTCATGATTTGCAGGGTGCCTCCCTGGCAGGAAGGCTCTTGCCCTTCCTTTAGCAAGAGAAACCTGGGCTTCCCAAAGTTGCACTGACAACCTCAAGAAACCAAGACACTTGCTATCCCAGCCTAGCCCATAGAATCATAAAGGTTGGAAAAGACCTCCAAGATCATCGAGTCCAGCCTTTGACCAAACACCACCTTGTCAACTAAACCACAGTACCAAGGGCCATGCCCAGCTGTTTCTTGAACACCTCCAGGGATTGTGGCCACAGCGCCAGGTGGTACAAAAAACAGGTCTTTAACCATCCTCAAAACCTACCCAGAGCACTTCAAGCTGTAAGAACTCATCTGATAGCAGGTCACAGCCAAATAGTAGTATAATTATATTCTGGATAAATTATTATGTTATTTGACAATGTGTGAAAAATTATTAGTTTTTAATCCTTCCCCCCCCCAGAAAATCAGTGCTAGTTCCTTATTTGTCACTTTGTCTTCTTCTTATTCATTTTTCTCAGTGACTGCTCTTCTGCTTTGAAACAAGAACTGCTTTTGTTATCTGATTTTCTACATTTTAAGCACATTAGCCATTTAAAGATTTTGTATTTAAAATTAAATCGGCCTACTCTTGGTAGAATGATGTATTTCTGCATTTCACAGCGCAGACTTCACAGTGCATATCCTTTTGCATTATATTTCTTCTTTAGGTAGTTGCTTACTCTGAGACACTGCTTACTGGAGGGGAAAAAAAGGAAAAAAACCGTATTATTTTGAGAATCCAAGAAACAATGCCTTGCAGTTCAAACTCCACACACTGGCGTGTTTCTGTCTTTAGCTTAATAACAGCAGCTTAATACTGCAAAATGCCAAGTGCCCTGGGTTCCTACTGCAGTCAGTGGGAGTCGACAATTAGCACCTGACAAATGCACTCGGGTGCTGAGAGCGTGAGATACCCTGGAACTGCTGGCTTGGCTAAACAGCACAGGCTTCATCCTCCTTCTCCTCTAACTGATCATTTATCTTCAGAAGAGAACAGGGCAGGTTTTTCGATTTCTTGCCTTCCACTTTCTGGAGTGTCAAATCGTGCAAGGTACTTGCCGGTCGTTCATTAGCTCATTGCAGGGAATTTCAGACATCACCAGCAATGCTTTTCTGTGGACTCCCCGGGGGTTTCCTGACACTGGCCTCTAAGCCTTTAAAGAATGATTCCCGGTTATTTGAAGAGATCCTGAATATTAGGGTAGGGCTTCTGAAAATTTTTTTTCCTTCTTCTGAAGTAGACATCATTCGTTGTCATTTACAGAGTCGATATTATGATTTTTTTGCTTTCTCGCAGGTTTTTGGCAGTATCCAGTGTTGCTAAGGGTGATTTAATTCCTACTTCCAGTCCAGTTCCCAGACACAGCTTTTCCAAGGTGCTTCTAAACACAGGAGATGGTGAGTTGCTTTCTACCCTCATACACGGAGACTCTACACACGTGTTTGCGATGTACCTGCTTTAAAGAACAAACTCATTCAGCTGGGTCTTCCACAGGGATTCTACAAAGTGTGTTGAATAGAGGGTTTTGCTGAGCTCTGTGAGAGTGACCTTTCCTTAGGGTAGTGCAGAAGGAGAGAAAAGTCTGCACTGCAAAAACTCCAAAGTAATAGAGCAGGGAAAGGCAGCCGGGTGAAGGTTGACCTGCAGAGTGATTGCAGGTTTACCTGGGCAATCTGAGTGCATGAGGTGCAGTGGAAAGCTCCAGACTAGCCAGGAAAATGTCAGAGAGGACAATCAGTTCAAGAAGAGGAGAGCAGTGGCCAACCAGGGATGACTGAATAAATGAAGAATGTCCAGCCCAGTCTGAGAAATTCAGGCACTGCAGAAGAAGCTTAGTCTGCAGTACTAGATCTGACCTTCTCCACAGCCATGGACATTTAAACACTCAACATCTACTTTAACTGAGGGGGAAAAGAACAATGGTGCCAATATAACGCTTCATTTCACGGATATATTTTAAAGACTTAACCTTTGTGAGACATTTTGAAGATCAAAAGCACAGCAGTGCTCATTACCTGGCTTAACCAAATTTCTTAGTGCCAAGCTGAACCTAAATTCTTTTGATGTTAGCTCATCACAGATATTTTGTGAGACTTTTCTCAATTTCTGTGTTGGCCTGTAGCCATTTCATGCCACTGTGTGCTTGATTTTATTTCTGGGTTTGCCACATGCAGTTTTGCGAAAAGAGGTGAGTTTTTCATAGCACCTAATTGTAGATTTTTAACAACAAAGATGAAATTCCAAAGTCCTTGTTTCCCATAGTCATTCAAGTACAACAGCTTAACAATAACGTTTCAGAAAGCACTTACAATTGGTTTGAATATAAAAATATTTTCAAAAGAAGGGTAAAACTTCCTGCAACAGTATCGGGAGATAAAATTGTCATTTAATATTGAGACATCTGGATAATAGTGTAACAAGAAACAAATTAAAATCTTCAGCAGTCAATTAGTTGCCTGAGCAAAGGCACATGAGGTATGATTGCTCATAAGTGGACCTGAAAATTGTACATGTTGAGACAGGAGTAGAGCCATGTGCCACCATTTGACATTCAAAGAGTCTTCCTAAGGTATTTAATCTCATTACTTTTTAGCTAGAGGAAGAAAAAGATCCTCAACACCCATGTTTTCCCATGTTCAGCACTCCTCGTGCTCACCTACATCTACACAAGTTCAGAGCCCTCCTCCTCAGGATTGCATCCACACTCTGGGTGTATGAAAGACATGGCACGTTGCACTTTAAGAGTCTTACAATGAGAGGGACAAAGACAAGGTTACAGTGCTTGTAATGATAGAATAATTAAAAAGGGTCACTGGGTAACTGTAAAATCGACTGAACTGAAGTCATCTAATTGTTTCATGGTAATGTTAATGAAACATAAAGATTTTAGTGAAAAGTAGATCAGAATATTGGCCAGTTTGAGCCTTTACAACGCCTTCCTGCTGCCATGGAGAAGGCATAGAGAAAGACAAAGTTCCCAAAATTGTTTTATATGTATACTTCCATGCTGGATTTTACCTTGGCCTTTACCTTCCTCCAACTGCCAAACTAGACAATGAATGAACCAGATACTGGAGGTAGAAGCTAAATGGGAGCTCTTCTGGTCTGTGACCTCATCCCAGTGCTGCCTAATTTAGTTTTCAAAAAGGGGACTAAAGGATGCATCATAAACCAGGAGAGATTCATTTCATATCCGTGACAGGATTCACGTGGGCAAGGCAGAAGAACTGTCAAGACTTCAGAAGACAGCAAGGTCGCTGGTGCTCTTCCTCTCTAACCAAGTCTTAGCCCACAAGCTGTGTGCCAGGCTGCATGAAACGTGTGCTCTGGCCCATGCTGAGTTCAGCTACCAAAGTTAGCAGCACCTGAACCAAGGGCAGGTAGGGGGCTAGCGCCTCTCAGCACATCTGTACCCAAAACAGGGAAAAGGAGGAGTTTTACGCTGTATCTGGAAAGTTCCGCAGATTCAGGTGTGGGGAATGTTTGGTTTGAAAGCTTCTCTTTCCTTTTCTCTTAGCGTTTTTAAAACCTACTTCCTCCCTTACTATGTATTGTTCTGTACCTAGTACGAGAGAAATTTTGATTATTCATTAATTCTGCTATAATACCTGCGGTGACATTATAGAGAGAAATTACCTGGTGGGAGAAAATGGAAGTGAAGTATAAACAAGGAAACTTTTTCTGGTTCTGATGGAAATGGGTTTGCTGGCTGCGTGCTAGTTTCCAAAAGACAATGACAGACTGGCAGCTTACAGAAAACAGGCCTTGACAGCACACTGTAGAGAGCCAAACATTTTCTAGCACCTTGTGTCATATAAAGCACTTTTCATACCATCTATGCTCCAGCGGCAACGGGTTGCTCTGTCCCAGGCAGAACCTTTTGTCTTTGCATAGTCAGTGGAGCCAGCTATCAGATTCATAAAACTCGTCTGAGGTTGGATGTATGCAGGGTGTCAGCTTCTCCTGTAAACCCTCTCGGTGTTCCTGACTTCCCACAGCCTGTCAAAAGCAGCAGCACAGCTCAGCAGACAGGCAGGGGTGCAGAGAACAATCAGACAGGTATGAGTTTTCTCGCTTAACACTGCCTTGACTTGCTGAAGAAAAGAAATAACGTAGAGGAGGAAGAGCGAACGCAACTGAGAGGCGAGTATGTGTCTCATTAGCACTCACTATGAAAGTACTTTATACTCTGGGGAAGGTAAAAGCATTTTAATGAGGAGAACAGCCTCTTTTCAAATACTTCTTTTAGAAAACGACTTTATAAGGACAACTTATTTCTAAGATAAATATCGGTAACACATCTGCAGTCTACATCTTAAATAGAGACCAGGAGGGCAATTAGAAAGCATATCATCTTGATTACATTAAATTGCCTTCTTTGAGCAGTGATATTTGTCATTATTAAATTGTATGTTTCTTAGTATTGGAAGAACAGAAATCCTTAATACTAATACTTACATAAGCAGCATAATGGACTATTCCATATATCACTATCAGCAACAGGTTTTGTGCTAGTAAAATCCCATGTGCCTATGGCAGCTTAAAAGTGACTAAGTTGACATAATTTTATTTGATTTCTCAGAATTAAAAAAAAAAAACCTCTAGAAAGAGAAAACAGCCCCTCTTATGAAGTAAGCCCTAAATGCAGGCTCTTCTTTCAGTATTGTTATCTTTGAGGCTCAGTATTTTTCCCATTATCATTGCTGTTTCATGGATTTTTTTTCCTACTTTAATGAATTTCTGTGCTCAGACACACAGCTATTTTCTTGGCTGTCTTGTTCCATTATGCTGATGGAAGCAGTCTTTTAATTTAAAACATTATTATTGAAAGTAATGCATGAAAGGCTTATCTGAAAGATATATTGTGTTGGCAATAGATGCAAATCAAAATGCAACTGTCTAGGTACTCAATTATATATTTTAATGGAAGACTTTGAGTAAAGCTTAGGCAGGAAGGAGAAAAGTTCTTATCAGCATCTATCATTTAAATTACCAGCACACTGGTAGACTATTCATATATTTCATATACCTCAATAAGGTCGAGACTGAAGCTGATTCAATGGACAGCAGTTTGCTTGTGAAGTCTCTGTCCTTGAAATACATTGCCACAGCAGCATTCCAGAAGTACAAGATATTCTTGCATATTTTTTTCCCCAATGCATTAAGTACTTGCATCTTTTGACATCTGGTGAGCTGCTTCGTCTTTTGTAATCCACGTAAATATTTACCAACTATTTGCCTTTGAACGTGCTCCAAACTTTTTTTTCTTCGTGATCTTCGGAGATACTCGCTATGACTTAGGCCAAGGGTGGTCCAGAAGAATGCATGCTGGATAATTCCTCCACTGGGACACATATCAGGCATTCAGCTGCCCAAATTATATTTAGTTTTATTTCTAGGTTTCAATCTTGCAGGGCTTTTTTTTTTCCTCTCGGTTCAATACAGCACAACTGACTGGAGTTTACCGAGTTGTGGTTGGAGCATTGTCCAGGCTCACGCTGATCAACAAACGACACAAGTTCTTCTGTGCAGCAGCTCCATGTGCCACAGAGTTTAAACCCTGCAGTACTCTGTGTGACTCAACCCTTAGCCTTTTGGAGCTGGCATGTTCTTTACTCCCCACTCTCCTGGCAGTTGCCTCAATCCAGAGACCTTTGCGCTGCCCCAGAGGGTGCAGTGAGCTCTGTAAGGCAGGGATCTGGGATAAAGCATCCTGAACAAGTACAAGGTCAGAAAATCAGGTAGACACACAGAATCTTCTAAAATTTAAATGAAGACCTTAGGTCTTTCCCAAAGGGGAATATAATGCAGATTTTTAGAGCCAGCCTATCGAGCTCACACATGGCTGCTCATGTAAGGAGAACAAAATATGCTCTGGAAGAAACCTCAAGGCCATGAAGAACTTTGTTTCCCTGTAGAAGCACCTTCACCAGGACAGAGACATGAGCTTGTCATCTCACTGTGTAATATCTAATATACAAATTTATTTTTTTTTTTTACTGCTGTCCATCTTTTCGTTTTATATCAGCCTGTCAGCTGAAAACTCATTTCATGGTGTCCACACAAAATATCACCTCATAAATATTTGCTATTTGTAGATGGCTCAACTATGCAACAGGAGTTTGTAGGCAACAAAAATGCTGGTAGTCATAAGTTTTGCCTCAGCACAGTTCATTACAGCTTTTGGACGGTTTGTTTTTATTTCTGATCTCTGTACCTACACTCTTTTGACAGCAGCTTAACAAGTAATCATCAGAGTAGGCAAAAGTTAGGATTTAAAATGGAAAACTGAAATTAAGATAGGCCCTGCTTGCAGAAGGGTTTCATTTTGGCATAATATTTGCTTCCATTATTACAGAATAATAGCTTTAGCAGGGCTTTTTCTGTTCAAATATTT